CAAAATTACATCTACATTTATTTGATTGATTTTATTTCAGTGACGAACACCTGTCTAAGCTCTTTGTACACTGCAAGTTTTTAGATGGCGCCGCACAATACTTACTGACTTATCACACAACTAAAATTAAATTAGCACTGGTACCCCTAGATATCTAGATGTTAATTATGAGTTAGCATCTAGAATGAACTGAACTAAGAACTTTTCGGTCAAAATCCATAAATATCTGCCAAAGTGGAATTACTTCCTTACCTATGAAATAAAATAAAAAAGTTCACGAAGACGGTGTACTATATTACTCCTCTTTTTTACTGTTTAGGAACCCGTCTAGGTAAGTACTACCCTTTTACGTAACTGTACGACCTCATAGCTGTGCATGCATTGCTGTGTTTTGATGAAGGTGAAAAAAAGCCAATATTAACCGACTGTGAGGCATTCCATCTTAGTCGCCAGAGAGAATAATCTCAATTCAGCTATGGTAGCAACATACTGTCACGGCCCAATATTATTATTAATAATTAAATTCAATATCACCACAGGCACTGGCAGCGATCACCGAATGGTTAGAGGCACAGTGAACCTAAATGTTAAGTTGGAGAGGTCTCGTCTAATTAAGTCATCGATCCGTCCCCCTAGTGCTCTAATCCAGAATCCCGAAACCTTTCAGCTCGAGTTACAAAACCGCTTTCAGTGCCTAGAGGATTGCAATGCAGTGGACGATATGAATGACAAGCTCGTGGAAACTGTCCATGCGGTCGGAGCTAAGTTCTGCAAGACCCGCCGCAGAAGAACACAAAAACTCTCCGATCACACTCTTAATCTCATGGCTGTTAGACGGGAGATGAAGCTGCAATCGTCAACAGATTTGACAGCATACAGGCAACTGAACAGACAGATCTCCAAATGCATGCGACGAGACTTAGGCAACTTTAATACTGCTCGTATTAAAGAAGCGATCGATCGGAACCAGGGCTCCAAAGTCTTTGCCAGAGATCTGTCTGCCAGAAAGAGCCAACTGTCAAGGCTGAAGACTGAGTGTGGCAACATCGTTTCCAGGACACCTGAGATTCTGAGTGAGATTGAGAGGTTCTATGGGCAGCTGTACACATCATCGTTGGAGCCAAACGCAAGCGTGAGTAACGATCCAAGAGCAAGTCTTATCCGACACTATTCCGATGATATCCCGGACGTCAGTCTGAGCGAGATTAGAATGGCTCTCCACCACCTTAAAAACGGCAAGTCCCCGGGCGAGGATGGAATTACAGCGGAGCTTCTGAAAGCGGGTGGAACACCGGTACTTGAAGTCCTTCAGAAGCTCTTTAATTCCGTCCTCCATGGTGGCACTACTCCGGAGGCGTGGAGCAGAAGCGCGGTGGTCTTGTTCTTTAAGAAAGGCGACAACGCTCTCTTGAAGAACTACAGACCGATTTCCCTTCTGAGCCGCGTCTACGTGCTGTTTTCGAGAGTCATTACGAATCGTCTCGCACGCAGACTCGACGACTTCCAGCCTCCCGAACAAGCCGGTTTCCGAAAAGGCTTCAGTACCATAGACCACATACATACCCTTCGGCAAATTGTACAGAAGTCCGAAGAGTACAATCTGCCACTTTGCCTGGCGTATGTGAACTATGAGAAAGCCTTTGATTCCGTCGAAATTTGGGGGGTGCTACAGTCTCTTCAGCGGTGCCTAGTTGACTGTCGGTATATTGAAGTACAGAACCAGAGTACGAAACCTATCCAACTGCAGAGAGGTGTAAGACAGGGTGATGTTATATCCCCGACACTCTTCACCGCTACGTTGGAAGATGTTTTCAAGCTACTGGACTGGAAAGGATACGGTATTAACATCAATGGCGAGTACATCATTCACCTTCGATTTGCCGACGATATAGTCCTTATGGCAGAATCGCTGTAGGACCTTAGCACTATGCTAAATGACCTCCATGGTGTCTCTCAACGGATAGGTCTTAAGATGAACATGGACAAAACAAATATCATGTTTAATGTCCATGTCACACCTATGCCGGTAGTTGTTGGGAGCATTATGCTCGAAGCACGTTTACTTTGTTGACGAGTACGTTTACCTGGGACAAATAGTCCGACTAGGTAAGTCCAACTTCGACCGAGAGGTCAATCGACGGATTCAACTCGGCTGGACAGCGTTCGGGAAATTACAGACAGAACGACAGGGTAAGAAATTGTGTAATAAGAGAAGAGTGTGGTTTGCAAGATAATGTTGTGACCAGAATTAAGAAAGGAATGCTTCGGTGGTTTGGTCATGTGGAAAGAATGAATAAGGAAAGAGTGACAAAGAAAATTTATGTTGCAGAAGTGAATGGCAGAGTCGGAAAGGGACGTCCTAGGCGAAAATTTATCGACCAAATTGGCGATTTATTGAAAGCGGGCCAAACTAGGAGTATTCTTAACCGACGAGCATGTATTCGTAGGTGTATGGATGTGAAGGAGGCGAGAGAGGTGTGTCAGGATCGTGCCAAATGGAAACTGTAGAGTCTGCCTACCCCTCTGGGTGACAGGCGTGAGTGTTTATGAAATTTATGATTATTTAGTTATATCAATAAGACCCAGATTTACTGTAACTAGAACGAATTACAAATTATAAATGTTTCTTGAACTATTTCTGATTATGATGATGATAATGATGAACTATTTCTAGATTTCCAACACAGTCGAGCAATTTTTACACAAATTTGGAACTAGGGCAGCTCATTTATTAGTTTTTAGTCTAACTGTTCACTTATATTTTCCATGTTACGTAAAATTCGAAATAAAGCACCTTTTTATTCTAATAAGCAAATTTATTAGGTCAAGAAAATTTACATATATCTGCTTATCCAATACGATATGTCAAGAAGTCTTCGAAATATCGCTAAAGTACACTGAAAATTAATTCATTAAAATTTTCAAATAATACAATTGTATGAACCGATTTATATTATGATTTAACGGCAAAGAAAAACGAAATATAATTGAATTAGCTACCTAGGGAAAAAGTTTATTTTAATTTTTTTAATTGCACAATACAATTTAACTTATATTTATCTAGTGTTTAGTTAGTAATTTTAAGGGCGACAACATTAATAGATATTTACAGATGTATTACATACTTAATGATATAAAATTAATTATAATTAATTTATATACTTATATATTAAAATTTACAGCATCACAGTGAATTAATTTATTTTCAACACACATAACATACAATTACACGTATCAAAACTACATTAAATCCTTAAAAATCATACTGATATATTATTATTATCAAATATTACTATGATACATGTGGGCTAGATAAAAGGATATATAAGTTTTTTTTTCAATCTTTCTCGACTAAGCTTAGCTTAGAAAAAGTTTAAATTATTAAAATGAGAAACTTAACACTTAGACATTTTTCTAAAATATATTACGTTTTATTGTCTGTATTTCTATTGAAAGAAATTCGTAAAGTATATTTCAAGAAATTTACAGGCCCTTTAAAAAGTATTATATAACACAATTTAAACTTTTAAGTGTAAATTAATGGTAGATGTTTATACCAAATGTGACTAAATGTGACTATGTTTGAGCTTATAGTCATTTACTCTCTTTAATTATTTGCCAAAGTAGAGTTATATACTAAATAAAATTATTACATTTATTCTATATTATTTGCAAAATACAAACCTATGTTACCAATTAAGTCAATAAGGAAAATGATAGCTGACAGTCTTTTTTATATTTGATGTTTAACTAATGTTAAAAAAGAACAATAAATTAAACAACCAAATTTTTCAAGTCAGTTGTTATATTTTATGACGTATTTTTTCTACAAATTTCACTTAAGGACAACAAAAAACAGAAAGAGATACATTTGAGCTTATAGTGATTTAAACTTTTGAATTATTCGCCAAATCAGACCTACACATTTAAACTGCTTATTAAACGCAATAATTAACGTAGATATTTACAATAAAGTACAATTTATTAATTTATAATACAAATAGTGTTAAATACAATTTATATCCTAAATAAAATTATTTTCTATATTATTTACAAAATAAAAACTTATAACACCAACCATTCGATACAGAAATTGATTGCTGACAGTCTTTAGTTTATATTCGATGTTTAACTAAGGTTAAAATTAAAATAAAACACAATACATTAAACATAGAATACTAAAAAACAATACGTTAAACGTAGAATATTATATGTATGTATTATAGTATTCTATGACATTATACGACATTTTTTTCAAAAAAGTTGTTATATTTTTATGACGTTTTTCTTCTACACGTTGTACTTAAGGACAACAAAAAAACAAAGAGCAGGATTGTCAACCGGTAAGTTTTGACAATCCTGCTCTTTGTTTTTTTGTTGTTTGAAATTAAAAAAATACATTATCACAGTATTTGATCAATGATCAAACATAGGTCAACACAGAGATATGTAGATATATAGAGATGTTTGATCTAACCGATATTACTTGCAACTTGACGTTATTTACGTCAAAAACTTTAATATAAATAAAATAAAATTTTAAAGAAACTAAATTTCATGGTATCTATAAAAGATATTCGTTTCGCATTATTCTCATTTTGAAATCTCATTTTTATAAAGAACAGTAGGTATAAATAAAAAATTAAACTAACACCATATTTGATGTACAAAAAAATTTTTAAACGTCCATTAAACAATAACTTTACACACGTAACGGACATTTGAAAATTTGCTTCAATTACAAAAAAAAATTGTAGCGAAGTTTGCATATTAAATAAATATTTATTAAAATAACTTCCTTTTAGTATCTTTATAATCAAACCTTTAAAGTGATTGCCTATAATATGAATCAACATAAATATTTTATAAATATTATACAATAAAGTGATATAAAACATTAATGTTTTAAAATACAAAACCATGATTCATTGAGTAAATTTATTTAATATACATAATTTTAAACTTAAGAGGAATTATTTATCTTTTCTATTATTAATTAACTAAACGCAACTTTCTCTTGCGTTGGCTAAAAGCGGTGTTCTCGTGGTAACTACTTCTCTACGTCGTGATAACGTCCCACTGGTTACGCTTCGGCGATCTTCCGTAAGTGTTCCAATGCTCTGTGGCGACATTTTATGACAAAATGTATAATTAATGGTAATTTTTATATTATGACTATAAACAGATGGTATTATCAATATAATCAACATCATTATAGCCCATCAAAAGTCACCTGCTGAATATAGGTCTCTTTTGCCCTGCAAATTGTCATTATGTTTGAGCTGAACATGTTCAACTTCTATCATCTTCTTTCATCTTCTGCTCCATTTAACTCCTCCTTCCCCTATTTTGACACCCAAATGATAATATATGGTTGTGATATTCCTTAATACTGTCGCTATACGCTGGCTTAATATGTTATGTGTCTACCGAGATAAAATTGTGACTGCAGCCTTACAGTTCAAAAGAATCGGTCGAGACAGAGGCCAATTTAAAAGCAAATGAAGCATGGAATTGCCCAGTTAATCAGTGCCACGTTTGATCAGTGATGACTTTATTGTACAACTAAAAAAAATCTAAGATATTTCGTAACAGGAAAAAGTATTGTCCCTAGGTGCAAGATCTCTAAAAGCCTCTCTTTAACTTCTTTTCGGCTTTACGCATCTTACTGTTGGGCTTTTGCGTAGTACGTAACTACATTTAACCTTCTCTCGAGAATAAAATGATTAAAATATGGTTACGTAGAATCAGGAACATGAGAAACTTTTCTTCTTATGGACTACCTCCTCAGGAAATGATTTATGAATGAGGCTTTGGCGTCTGACTGACGGAAAAAACCTACCAAAGATGCACATCACAATTCCGATAGCTAATGGGTTAGTTGTCAGCGGCTTTTTAATTGCGAGGATATTGGTGGTCTGCTCCGTGTTGCCTACTGCTTAGCCTAGCTAGCTAGCCTAGCTTAGCCTAATAATATTAGGCAACTCTTTAAAGAAATCCCTTTCAATACAATCACACAATCTTTTAAGGCAGTGAAATTGAAACAGTTAAAGAAAAAATAAAATAAAATGGTACTATCGCTGCTAAAGTACTGATGCCGCAAACCATTAAATGACAGACTGAGGATTTTTTTATAAAATTAAAGTGAAAACGAACTTACAGTCTACATAATGATAAGTGGCTACTGAAGTTCAGGCATATTTGCAACCAAATTCAAATAAAGATGGAAGGTTGTCACCTATGAGGATTAAGACGGAATGCCTTACAATTTTTAATTACGAGTATACTTGCTCTCTATACCCTTCATAAAGAAACACACCAGTGCAGTTGGTGGCATCGTTTCTTTTATTGTACGTCGTATTGACACGAAAAAAAAAACGAAGCCGCCAAATGGCATTTACGGTAGAACTCATTTATAAGTAACTACCAACGTTTATTATCATAAAAAGTTATACTAGTAGGACGAACGTGGCTGAAATACGAACAAATAACATTGTCTTTATAATACGTTACACTTAAGGAGAGAAAATACACATATATATCCGCATATATTCACATGTAATATGTTTCAATACTGGTATTATTGTAATATAGAAAAGTAAAGGCTAAAATACTAATCACTTACGTGAATATCTGATGCAGGTGTATTCGGAGTATTAGAGCGAACATCGTGCAAGCTATGTGTACTCTTAGATGACCCCACAGGGGGCGACACAACTGCCCCGTAGGGGGGTGGTTCAGGTGGACGTTCTGCGTCGCGTGTGCTGTTGAAATCTGAACAGAGGATTGTTTCGTCCATTTCACCGTTTTTTTATAGCCCTAAAGTATTTTAATCTGAATTTAACTGAACAGTGAATACAAAAAATGCATTGGACAATATTTCTTAAAAAATTAAATGGGAGCTTTCCTAAATATTTTAAAAATTTCGTTATTAATCTAATTTTATATAAAAGATACTGCTTGGGCATAAAAAATTACTGAAATTAAATGTTTTTAAATTTAAATTTTTTGTTTTCTGCGACAACCTACCTTTACCAAGCGGCACCACATCCGGGTTCTTGTCGTCAGGTTGAAGCGGCGAATGGTTCACGGTCTGTATCGACCCTTTGCAAGCTTTAACAGACTGCATTGATGCTACAATAGAGTTAATTAGTATTTAATTTTTTAAATAAAATTAAAAGTTACTAAAAGTGATCTGAAACCAACTTTAAACAAGAATGATGCAGATGCGCTGTCCACCTCTGTGCCCGTAATTATACTTCTCTACTTTACTATTCAAAACGGAAGACAGTAGTCCACACACTGTTGCTTTAAGTGAGAAATAGGTAGCCTACTCAGACGAACGACTAGGTAGAAGAGGAGTAATATCACCTAGCAGAATAAAATTTTGTGTAAAGTTTAGAACAAAGACTCATTCTTATTGTACCTAGATGTTTTGATACGGTATAAATAAGTATTTTAAACTAAAATGGAAAAAATCACTGTACGGACATATTATTATGCGTATCTCATTTTCATTAGTATGTTGCTGCTCATTCTGTGGTATTTGGGTTTAGTTTTTTTGCCAAGAAAACCACTTTAAACTTCTAATGGTTAAGGTGCTCGTTTGTCGTTTTTTATAAGATAGGCTTTTAAAAATATACGCTTCTGATTTTATACGGTATACTGTTTCGTTTAGTTAGACGATAATACAAAAGCCAAAAATGACAGCACATATGCGAGGCATTTGGTACAGCGAGCGTCAATCTGCTTGCCGAGAGACAAATTCTCCATACAACTGAAGTAATCCATGTCCTATAGTAAACTTAAAGAACTAATGACGAAGAAGTCTCTTCGTTAATTAGCAGAGCCCCATTTTTCAAGAAAGTTAGCAAATAAAGTTATTGTACACTATAACAAAATCACACTATACAAAAATATTCATTAATTAATTACTTTAATTTTGTGACGAGCTTATGGTTCGTAACAATAAAAATTGCCAATAGAATTACTAAATTTTACACTTTAATTACCGAACACCAATAAAAACTAATATACACTAATAACTAATCTCAGTTAACACATTAGTTCACTTTATTTCACTCCAAATTTTCACCTGTATAGCCAAATCAATACTCTCCAGGTCGGGGCCCAAAATGGTTTGGTAATTAATCACAGGAAATCACAGGAAAATCCATATGTACAGTAGAGAAAGAAAGAATGAGAGAAGTATAATTGATTTGTTTCTGGTGGATGACCGACTGCGAAAACAGGTGATGGATACACGAGTATTCAGGGGTGATATGGGCTGACCTGGGAACGGATCACTATCTAGTAATTACCAGATTTAGAGGTTTGTTTTTTGGTTGGCGCTACCGGTCGGCAGTAACAGAACCACGGTCGGTCTGTCGCATCCGAAGCTGGAAGCTTCAGGAAGCGGATACTAAGGACAAATATCACACGAGGGTAGCCGATAAGCTTGACACCATCGATGGCAGAAAAGAATGCGTGGAAAGAACGTGGCAGAACCTTAGGGATGGAATGGTAAGTGCAGCGGAAGAAGTATGTGGAACGACAAAAAGAGATAGTAGTAAAAGAAGAGATGCATGGTGGAAGGATGAAGTGAGAGAAGCTGTAAAGAAGAAGAAAAAGCATGGTTAGACTACTTGGCCTCTAGTAACGATAAGCATATGAGAGCGAAGATGAAAGAAAGATATAAGCTCCAGAAAGTTCATGCGAAAACATTGATTGAGGAAGTACGTGAAAGGTGTAGAACAGAAGCGGAAGAAAGGTTGTCGCACAACTTTAAGGAAAACTTCAAACTCTTCTAGAAAGAGGTTGGAAGGTGCCGAAGTGGTGCGACAGCCTTAAGAAGGAACAAAGTGCTTTCGAAAACCAATGACGTCCTCTCATAAAAATCGGACATCATGCAGTAATGGAGCGAATTTTATAGAGAAATGTATGCGTGTCATGATCTTAGTGAAGGATCCGGGGGTGACGCCGTGACTGGCACGCCAAACACGGACATCAGTGACACTGAGGTCATCAGCATGAAAGAGATTGAACGTGCTATTCGAAGTTTGAAATGTGGCAAGGTTGTGGGACTATGTCTAGTCCCGCAGCCTTACTCTGTCGAGTTACTGCTGAAATGGTCAAGTACGGTGAGCCTCGCGTCTGGGACAGCTTTCATCTGCTGTGCAATTTGTTCTGGCGGACGGGAGGTGTCCTGGATAATTGGCGATCTGCTGTCATTGTGCCTTTATATAAAGGTAAAGGTTCACATTTTGACTGCGGGTGCTATCGGGGGATCAGCTAGACCAGTTTAGCAAGTAAAGTTTACTCGAAGGTTTTGACACGTAGGATGCAAGAGAAATCGGAAAGATTATTATGGGAGGTACAATGCGGATTTAGACCTAGAAGAGGATGCACGGATCAAATATTTTCTCTCCGCATGATCACGGAGAAGCTTCTGAGTGTTAACCAGAGGATTTTCTGTGCTTTTGTCGATCTGAAAAAAGCATATGATAAGGTTATAAGGAAGAAAATGTGGGAGCTGTTGCCGGAGTATGGTGTGGATGGTCGATTGTTAAGAGCTGTGCATGTGTCACTTTACTATAACTGTAAAGCCTGCGTGCGGGTAGGGCATGACCTGTCACCCATGTTTAGCGTCAAACGGGCGTAAAACAGGGTTGTGTCATGTCTTACTGACTGTTCATACTGTATCTCGACAGCTATTTACAGAAGCTGAAAAATAGCTGTTTGGGAGTGAAATTGGATGACAATAAATTAAATTACAGGATTACAAAAGAAAAAAATAAAAAAAGTAAAAGCCAATTAAGAAAAAAAAATTTGCGGCTTTACCATAGCGAAGCGAAAGCGTAACGAAGAGATTCGCAATATGGTAGGATTGAAAGATGACGTTATCACAAAAATTGACAGGGGCGTACTCCGATGGTTTGGGCACGTTGAGCGAATGAGTGAAGACCGAATGGTGAAGAAAATATATAGCGCGAAAGTAAATATAAAAAGGTGTCAAGGTAGACCGAGACTAACTTTCGAAGACCACGTGAGCAAATTACTCGAAGAGGGTAAGGTCAAGAGTATTCGGATACCTAGACGTGCATGTATGAAAAAGATAATGAACCTGAAAGAAGCGAAAGAGGTATGTGAGGATCGTGACACTTGGCGATCTGTTCTCTCTGGCTACCCCGTTAGGGATTGTGCGTGAAGATAAGTAAAAATATAACTTAAAATTGATAAATATTTAACAACTAATTTATGTTTGAAATTATGAAAATGAGTTTTTTAGATTTTCGTAGGATTGAAATGATGATTTAATACTTAATAAAATGTCAGTATCTGCTTGAAGGAACGTATGCAATTTCAGTGGAAATGCAGAAGGACGTAATTCACATTTCAAATGCAGTGAAAACCGTAGTCGACGATGTTTGCGCCAGAAAATTCCGGACACGCGAGATAATCTGTCTCTATTCATCAGTAGAATTCACTACCGCCACAAATTTGATATATTTCAAAGCTTAAATTACATATAAAACTTATAGTGCTCGGTGTAAATTTCATAGTACGTGAGTAACTCCGGTTCGATCCCTGCCGGTACCAATAAAATTGTTAATTGCAATTTGAAGTGCTAATTTACCACGTGGTTGGACAACACACATTAGAACAGCGTGGCGGATATTACTCCTCTCACCCTCACAGAAATGAAAAAAAGGCTATGCCCGGCAGTGGGTTGTATATAGGGTTTATTTTTTTATAAATATTCATGTATTTCACGCAGTATCACTTAAGTACCAATACTTCATTGTCAGATACTAATGCAATACGATAACAAGTACAAAAATAATTTTATTTGTGAAACAAAATGTTAAAAATATGGTAATAAATGTTCTATACATATATATTCCAAACTCTTTTTTTATTTTGATTAAAAGATAAAAACTGCAATTCAAATGTTATAAATTACAGTATAGTTAACTGCTTACAATTATAGGCAATTAAAACATGTTTTGTACTTAATATGTCTTACTTTGTAATAACTAGATGAATAAAATAAATTAAAAAATAGAGTATAAGATTTTATTCAGGGTTATTATTTTTTTTTTTGAATAAAGGTAACAAACGATTACACTGTCCACCTGATGGTAAGTGGAGGCTGTGGCGTAGACATCAACATTTATCCTCGATAAAGAATCAAAATCCAGGTACGTTTCCACCCTTGAGTACTTAGATGGAATGCCTCATTTCCAGTAAACAGGGTCTCCAGTTTTCTGCACTCAATATATGAAAGATAGCAGGATTAAGCTGCTATTTTACACTGGTATTCTGTGAAATCGTGGTTTTGACCCGTTCGAGCTACAAGCATAATGTAGCTGTAGCGTGAACTTACCACGTAAAGAAATTATTAAAAGATTTAAGGCGTTGATCAAAACATAATCGTCATGAAAGTTAAATCATCACCACGATGAAAAATCCAGCAATTGGCTTCTACTGGCAGATTAAAACATATTTGTAATATTTTATGATATTGATAAGAAATTTTATCTTAGCACATTTATATTCTAGGCAATGTGTATGCAACACACGGCTATCTAAAATATTTTTCAACGATAGAATTCTACATTAAGGATTTGCACTGGGAAATGGTTCTGCGGAATGCACTTAAACTAGAACAGACGCTGCATCTTTGTAACGGTAATCTATGGAGTATTTTTTTGTTGATTGATAATACTTTGTTGAATAATAACCTCCAAAACAATTTTTTTATTATGTTACAGAATATAAAAATTAAATGTTAACTATATTCGTCACCAAATATGCAAATAACGATATACCGATATTACAGTTTTTGAAAATACGAGTAAATAAGATTTCTGATGATATTTTAAGGTACATTACATTTTAAGCTTCCGAAATACTAATTAAGTATATAACAAATATACTAAGTATATATATGTGGGACGGAACGTAAAGGAATGAAGTGACAGAATGAATGTGTGATAAAGATAGCAAGATGACAGTATAAAAGTGAGTGAAAGAGCAAGTATTTAAAATGAGTGAACAATGAGCGAGTGACTGAATGAGAAGTAAGAATGAGGGGGAAGCTAGATTTTAAAAACTAAGACGAGCAAACGGGA